TGAGTGCGTTGCCGACCTTTTAGGGATTAGGGTTTTGGAGATTTAGGGATTGGGAGAGATCGGGGGAGGGGAAGGATTGGGCCTCCGGTAACCTCACTCACACGGCGAAACACAACCAATTAATTGGATGTGGCTATATGTTCTTAGAAATATACTTAGATTGAAGTTCAATATTGTTTCACTAATTATAAAAGAAAAAGTAGCAAATGAAACCTTAAAATACAATGCAAAAAAACCAAGATTTTAGCTTGGCATGTCTATTTTTGCCTAACTCTTCAGTCTTTTGGTATTTTATGGAGGAGGAAAGTCATCAAATGACTTCTCTGCCCCAAAACACGTAATCTCTGACACCCTGCAGTTCTCCTGTTACTAGGACGTGAGGAGGATAGTTCTCTAACGCGCTCCGCACCATGGCCACCGACTAAGGCCAGACGCAAAAGGTCGCTGCCGCCGATCACTCGCATAACTCTCCAGTCTTGTGTCACAGTTTTGTATTTGTTGGATTACTTATAAAACCATATAAAGTGAACTTAGAATAACGTAACATTACAGATAACGTTCTTAATAAATACACAGAGTTAATCTCATTAGTTATGTAGCAAGTTCCCCGCTACGAGAGCTACGCGGCTACGCCGTAGTAGTCGCGTAGCCACGAAGTGGAGTTGGCGGAGCGTGATATGATTTTGAATTATACGAAGCTTAAATCCTGAATAGATGATCGGCTAAATATTCATTTTAATGTGTTTTTCAGGTAACATATTTTATCACTGCTAACGATTTTATTGCTTTCGGTTGTCATGAAAAAAGTTCTTTGGATAAGTAAAATGAAATTATTAATAGGAGAAAATATTTATTATTTAACGTAATCATAGATTATTTATACTATGTTATACACTCAGTTGTTACATATTAAAGTCTTAAACCAGACCACATTTTGTATGTCATAAAATAATTACATCTGTAATTTCATCTGCTCATTCGTGTACCTTCAAGATCTTGGCTAATTTGTGTCTGTACTTGTACCTCATTTGTAAGGAGAACGAAGGTACTCGTAACAAGTAATTCAATTTAGGAAAAGTACCAAAATTAAATTAGGAAACAGGAGAATATCTTTATAATTTGTCTAACAGAATTGATTTTGGTAAATGTAATTTTAGACCCTAATATAAGCTTAATTGGTATTCTAGATTCAGACGAATTCCCTCTTGTAATATCATTTTATTTTCTACGTATAGGGGTGGAAATTGCTTGAAAATTATTTTTGTTTTGACCCAAGAAAAAAACATAATACATGTTTATGAATGTATATTTTAAATATTTATTTCAATAGTAAGACCATAGTTCTTTCTTCTCTCTCTCTTGTTTGTCATGGATATGTCACCGGAAAATAACAAGATCCGTAAGTTTATCAATTCACTAGGAAGTTTATAAACTTTTGTAAGATTCTAAACGGGAGATAAATTGTAATATTTGACGTCCACATTTTCGTAAATTAATCAATTTCCGACATCATACGGTAAATTTATAAACTAACGAATATCTGCAAGAGATTCATAATTCCTCTGATGTTGCGGATGTCCATTAGCGACGCCAATTGCTTACCTTCAGGTGATCGATCTGCACGTTAGCCGCCCTATTACGTGAAAATCCAAACCTTAACGATATTTTACAATATCGAATGAATCACCTATCAAATTCGACATGACAATCAAACAACAGTAATCGAATGATTTAGAGCAACACCAATCATTAGATTACCGAGCTCCTCCACATAATATTATATATAGGTCAGTAGAACCATTTATTTATATTAACTACATCAAAATTAACTAACCTACAAATTACTCATCCCTCTGAAATCGGCGACCCAGTTCGAGTCAAAATCTGGTACAAATATGTGTATATAAAGCTGTGTATACATATACGAAATTTTATCATGAGACGGGCTACATAATGCGGCGTGTATTTATAAGTCTCTGGACACATATAGGGCGGTCCATTAAACCATGTGTGCGTTGGTTTAGGATTTCACGTGGCCGGCAAGTGCTTTTAGCATAGTTAAAACATCCACTAGGTAGAACTTTTCGTGTGAGATATTTAGTCAACTTTTAAATGGTTAACGCGTGGAACTAGGTTACAAGCTAACTATGCCACCTGTGGTCGTAAGTAAGTGTTACTATGCCACTGAATTATCATAATTTCCTGCTGTATTATACATATTACTTAGCTTCCACTCTAGGTTTTCATTTAGCATTTCCTAAAAGCATGTAAGCCATTTTTATTTTAGTCTTGAACAATTTATTTAACTAATCTACAAAATATGCGTTATTCTAATATTTTAGATGTGACAGTTTGTGTGAATGTATGTTTGTTAGTTTTTTACGCAAAAACAGCTGGGCCGATTTGGTTTAAATTTGGTATGTAGATAAGTGATATAGTGATTCGTGAAATGTGAACGTTGTAGTTAACCAAGTGTTAATTCAACTGATGATAAGCTTTAAACCTTTAGTGATTGTAATACAAAAGAGCTCAAAATCCAACTAAAATGTAAAGAAGTCGCACCTTAGCAGCTGATTTTTGACAACCAATTCTCAATCTCCCGTCAAAAACCAATCAATATTCAAGTAGATTACCACTAAAGAAATTGTGAAAACGAAGCATAGAATACTAACTAAAAAGCAACCGTATTGAAATAAGAATTAGTTATTTAAATTGACAAGCCAATTCCAATAGATTTTAAATGTGTTCCAATTGAGCAGTTTCTATCGAAAAGTAGAAATTTAATGAATGGAATTTGGGATTCTTGTGTCACTCTTTCATTGATTGTAAATACTATTCTTTGTAGACTTTCTGAATACAATAATAGATGTTTAAAACTTAGGTCGTAAAGTTTGAAATACATATTAAAACAATAGTTTCCAGAGGTAATTTTTTTCGATTTTAGTTAATAAAAAGGAGTCTGTTTATACATATGTTTATGCAAATAAAATTGAATACGTATAATAAAAAAGTGACTAAAAATTGTGGCATTATAAACTCTAAACTTAGCATTTTAACTGCCTTACTCAGAAACATTTATTTAATTATTACTTATTTTTTGATTAAGTAACCATTATTGATAGTCATCGGCGTTTAGTCCCAACATTATGTAGATACGCTTAAACTAGTGTGGGAGAGCCAAGCTTCGGCACGAATGGGTCGGCTCGACCGGATTGATACCACGGCCTCACAGAAGACCGGCGTGAAACAACCACAGCGTTGTGTTTCGCCGTGTGAGTGAGATTACCGGAGGCCCAATCCTTCCCCGCCCCCAATCCCTAAATCTCCAAATCTCTAAAACATCGACAACGCACTCGTAACTCCTCCGTTGCGGGTGTCCATGGGCGGCGCTGATTGCTTACCATCAGGTAATCCGTCTGCCCACCAATTACATAAAAATATAACCATTGATTCACCAAAAAGGCCTTCCATCGTGAAAAAAGTCATTGACCTCATTCTCAGACTGCAAAACGACATAAAAACATAATAAATCTCTTTCTAACTGTCGTAAACATTAAACGGCACTACATCCCGACTATTGGTGAACACGTCACGTCTAGTAGTACGAACACTAGTTATTATCATAACAAGGTTGGCTCTTACCGGTACGTGACACTCGATGTCGCCGCGTTTCGCTCTTATCGAATATTCTAGAACGTCGGAAATAAAATCATCGGCGTCGCGGAAATTTTGCAATGGAAAAATCTGCTTTTTTGTTGTATCGTCTCGTTGTTAGGGGTGGTAAATAATTCTGTTGAAGGTTTTTTGTTTGCTGGGTTTCTGATTTATAAATATACCTACAACAATAGCGTATATTTTTTGTTAGGGGTGAGGCCGCCTTACCCAAATAAAACTGCTATAAATCTGATCTAGAGTGCAATAATAATCTACCCCTGAATACGGCGCACTCTAAAAGTATTATTCTGAACCGGTTGGAAACTACAATTCATATTTTTTTTAATTGCAAAAACAAAATAGTGTACAAATAAAAAAGCCAATAACTTACTTGATCAAATGACGACTTATAATACAAAAAACAAAACTGATTTCAAACAAATACACGTTCGCTTTTCATGTACGGTTATTCAAAAGTAAAGACTACATACGTATAAATACTTAAAGTAGACTTTTGTGTGTCAATAATGTTCTTTTATCGTTTCACTGGAATTCCTTTTGGTTAAAGCCATTTGTCGTTCATCAATAACGAAACATATCGCCAGAAGGACGACACATATATAATATTTATAACTGTGTTCATAAATATGAAAAGATACAAATAAATATATCGAAGAAGATGAAATATGAAGGATATTTCTTGAGATGTATATTGTAAAGATGTGGACAGTAAAAATATTTTAATAGTCTTGTACACCTTTGAGCTCTAGTTTCTACTTTAATATATGCCAATAAGGGAATAAGTCAACACGTGAAAGTGACAAAATCGAAACTACATAACTATCATTGATTTGAAGAAATGTTTTATTTTCGTATCTAATGAAAGTTACCGAGTAATAGGTAGCTGAAGTCCGCTCCAAAAAGTTATTTAGAGAGCTATTATCATGCTTTGTATGTATATTACTAACTTGAAATATGGAACCAACACTGTTTGTAATTTGTATTTTTTTTAATTAACATAAACGATATACGGACTGTAATGTCGTGGTGGCCCGGAAGTTAAAGAGCCCGCTTCTCATGGTGTGGGTTCAAAACCTGGCAAGTACCAATGTCACTTTTTCCAAGTTATATGTACTTTCTATGATTATTTAGATACCACTGAAACCTAGACGCATTATTTCTAATTATAAGTTTGAAAGCGCCAACCCGCATTGAGCAAGCGTGGTTATTAATGCTGTAACCTTCTCCGCATAAGAAGAGGACTTTGCGCAGCAGTGGGCACTTATAGGCTGATGATGATATACGGACACATCAATTTAACATTGTGAATAAATAATAATACTTACAGTAACAACATAAGAAAGCCCGGTAAGCGTGAGCCGCGCCACACTGTCTTTCCCCGGACGGGGAAGCGAGGGCGGTGCGGGCTCCTCGAGCGGCGCCGGCGCAGGCAACACGTCGGGCCGCTCTCGCGCCCGCCCCCGCGCCTCTCTTGGTGCTGCGCCCGACGCTCCGTACATACTGTAGAAAACAAAAAACATAATTATTTTAATTCAAATATAATAAACTAACTTGAACCCACGAATGTGTATTCTTTAATTATATTTTTTTTTTGTCAAATACTTATAAAGATAAATTTAAACAAAAAAGTTATTGTTGATGTGACATTCAATCCAAAACAGAAATAATTGTTCATTTCGACCCCATGTACCTAGTTACGAAGATAATCGCGTGCAAAAAGCAAACTCTTCAGCTTTTAAAATATCAGTTAATTAAGTATGACTACACCACTAAATCCACCTTTATATTTGCTTGAGTGCATAAAATTTTGTAAATAAATGTACCTTTATATAACTTTTAATAATTGGGTTTCAATTATATTTTATTCTTTTATCAAAGATTATTTCTTAACAAAACACAATTCAAATCTAATGTTCAGGCACAATCGTTTACAAATACACACGAATAATATAAAAATTAAATCGTTTTATAAATAGCAGGAAAATCGACTGATCTGATATTCACAAAATAACATTGCCTTAAAAGAAATACCATCAAAGGAAGATTCAAATGAAAAATCTTTTCGTTTCAACTTATATAAAGAGAAAACGAAACAGCAATGTTTTCTTTTGTTTCTCTTTTGTCGATCTTTTTCTCAATAATAAAGTACAACATTTTGTGATATTGAAAAATATACTTCACTATTGGCAGTTAAATCTCAGTCAAACTTTAAAATTTAAAAATGCTCATTTTCCATTTTTAATTAAACAATAATTTATAAAATCTTTGCACTTAAAATCCGCATCATCTTTCAAAATAAAGCAATATTCAACACACTGACAAATGTGAACATTATATTGGTACGCCGCAAACAAAATACAGCATAATATTTATTTACAAAAATTTAAAATACTGACGGAAAAACGTGCAAAGAATCGACACAAAGAATGAGAGAAACATTTTAAAGTTATTTCCACAGTAACGTATTCCATACTTGGAAAGGAATTTATTTTACATTCAATTTTCAGCTCAATGTTGGCATTGCAGACGTAACTTATGAAAGACGTCAAATAAATATCGCGCATCGACATATAGGAAACTGAGAGAAATATTCTAAACAACTATCACAATATTCTTCGAGCACACACATATTTTTCTGATATATGTATGTGCTTTGTTTTACGAAATTTGCACTTTAACTTTTGTTAGCTAAGAGCTATTTTCTCTTGTGTGTTCCGGTCGTTGTGTACTCTAGTTATAAATAGAAGGTTGACCGGATAATGGAATGGGAGATGGCTATTATTTGCTTTTTGATTAGCAAATATTAATAGATGTTTTTATTTTCTTCGGAGGGAAATTCATTAAATTATGACTCTTCATGTGTTAGGTGAGTAAGACTATTACTGGCTAAGAACCACCCCATTACTCATCCTGGCGTGGTTGCGGTTATCAAGTTTGCACCCGCAACCCTGGCTGGACATGAGCACTAGTGAACCCGTCTGTGTAGAGGCCTGATGGCTCTTTGAGGCGCGCGCGGTAGGCAACGTGCCTTCCTTCGGTCTAGTACACTTGTTTACCATCCGCAGATCAGCGAAATTTTAAAAGATGTTCTATTTATTTTGTAGACTTCGCTACATTTTCAAACTTTAAACATAATAAGAGCTTATTGATATCTAGTACAGAATGTCCATATTGCAGGAGGGAAAGTCAACAAAGCCACTAAATCGTTACACAGAATATATTTGAATTTAAATCGAAAAAATTTAAAAGGTAATCGTCAAGGTTCTCTCGTTACTTTTGAGGAAATCGTCTCATAAGGAGTGCACCCAAATATTTAAAGTCCACAAAGAGGGAAAGGAACAAAATATCGATAAGCTCACTCGAGACGTTCCTTCGACCACGTACAGTCGAACTCAACGAGTTTAACAAAATCCTTTGTGCTGCTAAAGTGCACGGCGCCAATAAAAGTGCTTATTTCGAGCAGACTTCCCTCGAAATCAGGTTCGAAGTACCACCGTGTCTAAAATTATACATTACACGAAAATACATACTTTAGGTACAGGTGATTTTATTATGCCGGGCAGATTCGATACTGTGTGGTATGTTGGAAACCAAAATAACATTTGTTATTGGACTACTTATTGGTCTTAAGTGCGGTTTTCAAATACGACAATTTAAACTCGGTATTCAGCTCGACAAGTTTTGATTAATTACAGAATTCAAATCCAATAAAGAGAAAAGAACTAACTGAAACTAAAAATAAAACACAAACAGGCCCAAATGTACTTAACGAAACATTATGTAACCCGAATCACGCACGAACCATTTCCTCGGGCAAATATACTCAAATTACTTCAGGCGACGTATTATTACAACAGGCTCTATACATCTTAATTCCAAACTTCGATCATGTAATCTCGAGTAATTCCAACAAATATAAATTTAACACTAACGTACAGTATCGTAGCGTCTAAAGTCGAACTACCAGGATCCTAGAATTAACAAGAGCCTTAACAAGGTTGCCTCGCCCGGATGTCCCAGCGGGTAAACAACTCACTGTTGTATGACTTACTTCCTCAGTTAGACACCCCTTAACGTTATGATGCCCTGGTACTTTAATGTGCAGTTAACGATGGCCGTTTGCTGGAATTGTTCGTGCCATAGAGATAATTAAACTTGTGCACTCAGCATAATTATGATTCTCCATCGTAAAGCTTGAACAGCTTTAATTTATGGAAAATAATAATTGAAAACTTGAGAGTACTTCTGAATGCATGACTAGATGCAATTTATATAATAAGTTCTTTCTGCTGACTATTATCTCTTTCAAGTAAGCTACGGGATTAGAAATTGAGTATTTTTAGCTAGCTATTATTACATTTTTATCGTCGCAACTTAAAATAACAAGAAACCAAAAACCTCTCGAACAATTAAGGCGATTGTCAAAAATACAAGTCTTTTCTTTATTTGAGAACTAATTAAGCAAACCTACACCTTTTAAAAAACGAATCCAGCCTAATTGCAGTGAGCCTAATCTAATTGTCTTGTCTCCAGTTAACTAAGTTCCGCTCAAGAATACAAAATGCCTATAAAGAGTGTCGTCACAGCTGGCGATGGCGAATAGTTACGTTTAATTTTATTATCCCGGGGAGACTGGCCGGTATTGGCAGCCGTTGCCGACTGTCCCGGGATTATTCTGCTTTGTAGTCCATTTAGTGAAGCTGTAGTGGTGCGATTGTGAATGCGAATAGGACAGTGGGAATCGATAAATGAAGAGAATTGATAAGTTTTATCGATCAAGTGTGTTATAGAATGTTACAGATAGAAAATTATCGAACCATCCATGCCTCTTGCCTTTGTGGCGAGAGGAGTGAGACTTCTTTTCTCAACTTTGCTCTTACTAACTAAAAGAATTGGAAAGCTGTGTTTAACTTCTGCCTCGAGCCGGGCCGCAGTAATGATTGCGCTTAACTTGTAAACCTGGCCGAGAATGTTACAGTTGGGAATCTGATATTAGGATATATCCAATGCGTGCCCTTAATAAATAATGCGTACTATTATATTAATTTGTTTATTTTTTACCATTCTAAAAATTAAAGTAGTTAGAATTCTTCTCAAATCAGTAAGTAATATGTGTAGCTAGTATAGCCGAGCCGACTTATGATCAAAACACAATTTTTACAAAGATCAAATAGACCTATTAATATTTCAAAAAAGATTATTTAATCCTTCCAACATTTATAAATAATATTATCGAGTTATTTATAAAACTGTAACTTAAGGAACGCCCTGTGAGTTCTTGAGGAAAACAAAGCGGAATTGCTTCCGAGGAAATTGAATTCTGTATCAATCTCGTCGGGACGATTTAAGGCTATGTCAACTTGTTAGACGAAAGTTTCTCGCTATTATTGTATTGGTGTTAGTTGGGAATGAATGAAACTGTATATGTGTGTAGAAATGTATGTATTTTAGTTACATTTAAGGCTTCTACCTTAATCTTTATTCTAGATTTTCCTTCTTCGAGAAATGGACTATCTCGGAAATTCTTGTTTTTATCAATTAGAACGTTTCATTTAAAAAAAATGCCACAAGAAGAGTAAAATCTAGACTTAACTTTTACCAATAAAGTATTTAAAAAACCTAACGTAAAATAACAACAAATTTATTTTAAAGCAATTACAAAACCGGTCTACCCCACAAAACAACGGTTTAAAACAATTATCGTATATGTATAGTGTTCATTTTGCAATTAATTAATCAACAATCTGCATGTATAATTTACCGGTGTAGAATTTGTAAATTAAAAAAAATCTGCGCATTTTAAAATAAAAAATATTTTGGTCAAACTAAAAAAGGAAAAAGTTTGACATTCAGTTTCCAAAAGTTAAATATATATCCTAAAATTTGCAAGGTACTAATATTAGAAAAGAAAGTACATCCAACAATGTATAAAAAAAATAACTGCATTTTAGGAGTAGGATCTAGCTATTTCAACATTCAATAAGAAATAGCTACTCTATCCTCTATCTTGACATATCAATATTTCAAATTAAGATATCAACAAAAATATTTGATTCCGTAACATAAGTTAAATACATTTTGATTAATCTTTAAAAATTGAATTCAAAAAACGTTCCTAATTTTCAAATGGGTCCAATAAATTTGGAATCAATTCAATGACGTCAACAATCAATCATGCTTTTGCTCTTTATAATGTTATTTAGCGATTTATAACAATAAATTTAGGTCTGGAATATATTTGATGTGTAACCTGTTCATATGAGCAATTAACCAAGTAATTGCTCTATCGAGCGTAAACCAGTACGGTTTTGATATATTCGGAAATGGTAGCGGTTGGATATAATTACTGTTTAATTATTATTTTAAATACATTTTACGGTAATCGTTTCGATTTTGCATTTTCATTATGTATATTGAATTTACTGAAGCGTTGGTAGGTCAATAAGTTTCAATAGACGGTTTTTTAAGTGGGGCTAACCATATAATGTTATACGGAGCGGAGAGTCTCTCTCTCTCTCTCTCTCTCACACACACACACACACACACACACACACACACACACACACACACACATACACACACTCTTACGGACTAAAAACCACCCCGTTTCTTCTCCTGCTCCAGCAGCAAGGTATCATTGCTAGCCTTCCGGACATTTGCGCTTGCGGTGGCATTTAATAAATGGCAACCCCGCAGAATTACCAAGTAATATGCGAATGTATTTATTTGTCAACAAGAGCGGAAAAAGTCAATACGGATATCGTCAGTCCACCTAGTCTAGTCCACCTGCGGATATCGTCAGTCCACCACTACGTTGACTTAAACGTGGTCTCCCCTCTAGAACACGCTTACCCCAACGGTTATCGGTTCTTCAACAAATGTGACTATGGTGTGTGTGAGTGTGAGTGACTATGGTATAATGTGGTTATGTCGATAACTTTAGTTCTCTGCCAGATTTCGATCCTTCAGAGACACGCCAAGCATAGCCCTTTCCATAGCTCACTGCGCGACTTTAAATTGGTGGATCAGTCGCACTGCAAGCGTCCATGTATCGGCTCCGTATGTTATCACTGGTGGGACGCACTCATCGAAGACTTTTGTCTTCAGGCCTTGCATTATCTCTGACGAGAGTACCCGACCGAAAACTTCTGCCTTCAGTTTAATAGTTGTTATCGAGCTTGTGACCAAAAATTTCATCCTTTTACTGCCATAGACATTCTACCCAATCTCTAAATTAAAATAGTATAAAGAAAATAATTTAAAATGTTCTACAAAACTTTTCTTCATATAAAAGGTGGCCACATAAAGGCAAATATATTAAAGTGAGTAAATTAGAATTATCTACGCCAAATCAATAATTAATTTTATCACTATGAACAATAAAGTTCATTATAGTGGTATGTTGATTAATGGCGTTTATTATATCGCTTTATAAAATGCAGGGTAGCTTTATATCTAATCGATTTTACTAGACTACCTACAGGTCATGTAGTTCGATTTTCTAATGCTCGTTCCATTATAAAAATTTGAGACGTTCTTTACAGTACAGCTTTGAATGACCAAGAATAAAATTACAAATAATTAAAAAATATCAATCATTAATTATTTAAATCGCAAGTCAGCGTGACTAAGACTTGCGATTTTCTTCGAAACTTTTAAAATTCAATTCTAGATTACTTGCAAAATATCTGTTAAGAAAATTCATATAATTTTAGGTTCAAGTGAATGTAATGTAACATAAAAATAATAATTTTTCTCTACTCACCTAATATCATCATCATCAGGATGATGATCTGCTGGCAGGTCGGGCCGGAGGTCACCGAGCGCCCGCGCCGCGTGCCTCCTCCGCCTCTCATACCACAGCCGTCTTTGTTCCCTCTCATTATCCCTCTGAACGCCGAAAAATGTCTGCGTTTCCCTCTTGAGGTAGTCTCGTACAGCGACTGTATGTGTTCGCCGTAATCTGACGCCATCTTCCTGGTCTTGGGGAGCGGGGTCTGGTGGTGGTTGGGTGGGCGCGGGCGGGGCGGAGACGACGCGGGGCGGTGACGTGGGCGCGGGGAGTGGTGGCGCCGGCGCAGCCGCTGCTGGTGACGATGACTGGCATGCAAGCTGCGGCGCCAGTAACCCCGCGCTTGAACGCCTGTAACAATACAAAAAAGAAAATTAGTTAAGAAAATAATTTACGAGATCACTTTTACAGAATACTTTTAGGCTCCGAATACATAACAAAACAGTAAGTATTAAATCTCCTTGAAACAATAAGTTGCCAACGATATTGTAAAGTCCCTTAAACTTGAATATAAACAATCTTTCTTCAGTAAGAGACTTTTTAATGAAGTGGCACACAATCGATATAATTTACTTCCAGAACTTCATTCAAATAAAAAACGATACAAACAACTATGAACTCGTCACCAATAAGAGATTGATTATACGAAAATAGTTACAAAGGCCGAGATTTCCTCAGTTCTGTGAGTAGCGACGGAATTCATTTACCCGGTACCCGAGTCATCGTGAAATTGGCCGAATTGATTCGGTATTTCCGATTGCAATTCCGATGAAAATCGATTCGCATCGCCTGTAGTCAATCATCGAGCTATGGTCCCAAATTATTCGACTATTTAGATTCTGTTTGTCAGGAATTTAGCTAGAGCGGACGGGAAATGTTGTGCAGTGTTGATGTTTAAAGAAAGAAACGGCTTTTGTTTTATTTTTAACATTCGAGATTATTAATGTATAGGCTGCCAAAATATATGTTATATGTAGCAGGCAAGAAAATAAAGATTATTTCAGTATGAGATAGTTCTGTTGTCATTCAGTGACTATTGAAGCGAACAAAAGATCTGTAATTGTGATTAAGCATCCAATCTACTATACTAATAATTTCTGTATTATGTATAACGAGCGGCTTCGCTCGCGTGCTGTGTTGATAAAAAGCAGCATATACCTAGCAATAGAACAAAATCGTATATCGTAATCGTAATACATAAAATTTGTTATTAATCTCCAATGGAATACCCTATTACTTAAATAGGTAAGCATTACAAATATTTCACAAAACCTATTATATTATTTTCGTATCGCGTCGCGTCGAGTGCGGCAACCTTTACACAAAAATAAGCCTTATAGTATGATTCAGTGTTCACATGCGACGGCGCGATGGCTTATTATCCGAACTGCTAAGCTATCAGGAGTTATTAATACACGTGCTATTGTGAATTAACCATAAAAGATAGACATATGCTATGAAGCAATTTTTTTTAATTAGATAATTTTATGTAGAATATTTCCGTCATACATAATTTATATTAACCTTTGACCCCTCTATAGAATTATTATAAGTATAGATAAATCAATCTTTTTTAATTACCCAACTAGATTTCGGCTTATATTTTTTCCTTGTTAATACTTTAGGAAATACGGTTTTATAATACACTTAATCCTATGATCCGTTCAAGTAAAAATAGGTTGTCTTATATTTAAAAAAAAAAAAAAAAATATTTATTAGTCCAATAACGTTTTATGTACTTATGAAAATTTAAGCAACATTTTCAGCTTGGAATCGTTCATTTATTATTCGTATCTACTTAAAAGAAGAAAATATTCTATATTTTTAGGTTAAGGCGATTACCGTGTTTTGGTATAAATTGAAGCACACTTTTCCCTCAATTTATTTTTGTAACTAAATAAATAATTAAAGATACAACTTTAAATTGTTTTCATTAGAACTCAAAAGTAAGCCAAAGAAAACAGTTACGAAAAAAATGTAATATTGTTTTAAGAATAATCTAAAATGATTGTTTTTTTTAAGTAGTATTTTAGAACACACATATTTTTTTAGTTTTAACGACTGCCTAGTTATAAAATATAACTTACTTATTTAGTATTTTTATATATCGACTACTCAGAATACAGAACAAACCAGAAGGCGTCATCGCGCTTCAAACTAAAGCAACTAAAACCATTCTCAACTAGAATAGTATGAAATTTCTACGATTAGTCAATTTTAGCACGTGGCATGTCGTGACGTATTTACGAGTATCAATTTTAATTTCATTATGCCGTCTTATGTTATTACTACGAGTAAAAATGCGACTGGAATTACGAAAAAAGTGGATAAGATTACATTTCATCTGCAAGCATCGACTGCAATAGTATATTTAATTAATTATTGAATTTTTTTTATCGATTTATTTTTCTATGAAAATGATGCGGCCATTTTGTGAGTGTTGTCCTTTTTGGTGAAAATTTTACCCTCTTATTTATTTGTTGTGGGTTATATTTTTGTCCATTATGGAGCCTATGTCATATTAGTTTCCCTGACAAAAAAATAAATACAAATCATACAAAGGGCACGGTTAGATTAATTTTGGAAACCATCTAGCCAGAGCATAGTTTACTCAATTCACTTTGAAGAGATATATTTATGACAAAGGTGGTTTGAAAACAGCATATCCTACTAAGATATATCTATACTAATTATAATGCTGAAGAGTTTGTTTGTTTGTTTGCTAGAATCCGCTAATCTCAGGAACTAAGTTAAGTAAGTAGACTTCTAATCTTCAGTTCCGAGCCTAAAGACAATACATATAAAAAACTAAACCAGCAAAAGGGAACGCAATAAAACCTTTGTACATAATGAAGCTTTATTTTATTTGTAGGTGTAACTAAAATTAACAAATCCAGAAATTGTCAACTTTTATGATACCTCTATGAAATGTGTGAACAACTAGTCTGTTGCATTTATCGTAAGTTTACCTATTTTGTTGGGTTTACTCGTATCTTACCCTCCCGTTGTAAAATTACCCCAAACCAAGGGAATTGTTCCACTGTCGGCAACACTACGCGGGTGGGAAGTGCGGCTGGCGGGGGATTGACGTATTGTTTTTGGACACATTTGACGACATGTAATTATGAGTGAACGCGGATTCTGGTTTGTTCTGTATTCTGAGATCGACTACTAACTTTTCCCAAATATTTCTAATCCCAATATCGAAAACGAACAGGGATTTGATTCGAAATTTAAGTGTAAGTTTTCACTTAACAAACATACATGGACACAAATATGCACAAAATATATTAAAACTTAGCATATAAATAGTTCCAACAGATTCAAGTACACCTTAAAAAAATATGTTCCATTTAAAAAACAACGACGATTTCAATTAACACACCAAACATTTGTTACTCGATCTAAATACTTAGAATTTGTAGTCAGACTTAGTCGTACTTAAATTCCGTACGCAGGCTGTTTCACTATTATTTATGCGTACACAGTATACCGGTATTAGGCACACAGGTGGAAGTTGAGAACGCCATAATTTCAACGTAAAGCACAAACAGTAAATTAAGACACACTGTTGTAAGTAATGTCTTTGACAAATATTCCTTATTATTGTTCTGCTACACCCTGTATAGGAGATAAAGATGTTTTATGTGTGTGTTCTGTGTGCATTTTATGTATAGTTATGTGTTTGTGTTATGTTTCAAGAGAGAGTGATACGAATAGGTGATTGGGTGATTAGTGATTGGGGGATTGAATTGGTGATTGGTTTTCGTGTTAGAGTATTTTTTTCAGATTCAATCTCATCTTTAATAGATTTATGTTTTATACAGATATGTTTAATCTCTAATTCAATATCGCTCTAGTCAAAGTTTTATTGGTAGTGTCTTATACGATTACTTGATACCACTGGTTTGAGGCATATTAACAGCCTTTTTTATTTTTTTGTGAGGGGAAATTCATCAAATGTATTCGGCAGGGTTTGTCTTTTACCGACTAAAAACCCCCCAGTTCCTTCTATTGCTCTAGGCCGATAGATCGCGGTAACCATTGCGCTTATCCCGCAACCCCAGTTGAACATCAGCTCTATAGGGTCCCGTCTATGGTGGTCTACTGGCTCTTTGAGGCATATTAAGAGACTTAGCGTGGTAATCTCGGAGTGATAAAGAGAATATATTAAATTTCCTTCTCTATTGAATGCCTTATCTTTTAACATATCATCTAATATTGCGTATCTTTAAACAGAGAAATAAAAAAAAAAAACAAAAATAATTTTCAGCATCAAAAATTTGACAAAAATGGCAACCATATAAGACGGTTACCTTAGAAACCTCAGCTTTTATAAAAGACCGATAACAAAAATACATTTCTGAATAGAATCATATATATGAGAACGCGATTCAACTATTTTTGTGTATAAACGTTACGTTATTTTCTTTTATTCCTTTATATATATGTAAGTACCTACATCAAAATAAGTGGGAATCGATCGAAGTACAATTACCGACATGAATCGAGATAAAACGAGTACATTTAGGAACCTTCTATTGCTATATCAATCTCATTGGTACAACAAAATGTCAATGAACGAGTGACCTTGAGATTTCAACTCTGCGAACTTTCACAAAAACATATTTAAGAGCATAGAAAATGTATTAAAATGGTTCATTTCTCGGTGTAAATAAGGCTTAAAATGGTTTTAATAAATATATTTAAAGTAACACACTTAATATAATAGTTAGTGGTTTAGCTTTTTGAAGATTGAAAAACAATCTTAGGTCTATCTCATTTAAGTAGATATATTTTCCACTAGTAATTTTTGTTATTCACAAACTAATAAAATAGATATGTAGATATTTATCTCTAGATATTTATCTGTTTGCAAAAATATAAAAACAAATTAATATAAAAGTTAACATTTACTAAAATTGTTAGGTCGTTTCAATTCAATTATTTACTAGCCAACCATGTAATTCAGTAAAAGTTAAACCTATTTGACAAATTAACCAATGCAGGGTTCGTTTACCTTATTTATTTATTCGGAGTTAAATAAATAAATAGAGTACACAAAACTTCATTTAAATAACTTTATACTAATCATAGGCCTCTCCATTCCCAGGACAATGAGTTCGATATTCAGCTCTTTTTACCCAACCACTGCCAGCCACAGTCGATATATCTCTCTCTCTCTCTCTCTCTCTCTCTCTCTCTCTCTCTCTCTCTCTCTCTCTCTCTCTCTCTCTCTCTCTGTCTCTCCACCTATTTACTTATCACTTGGCACCGCTTAGTACTTAACATCAAGTGCACATTATTTTAAGAATTATATAAGATAAATGAAGAAATTCAACAATCATAAA